TTCCGCCTAAGAAATTGTGTGACTCCCATGTATATATATAATACTAGCTATCCCCTGCCACGCGTTGCTGTGGCCTAGTCTGTTGACATGGAAAATAAAGTAACGAGTAAGTGTTGGTTTCTAATATATGTGATGTCTTTATGCTTGTGGCTAAACAGTATTTCTTGCTGTTTCTTTGTCAGYGTTGATGTGGAGAGTGTCTGGTTTGCCTACTTTGGGACATGCAAGATATCATTGTCCTTCTTAAGGGGTCCCTTTCAAATCTATGTGTGTGTGAATCTCATATATTCATATATATATATATATATATGATTCACACACACATAGATAGGAGTGTTCTGAACACCACAAATGACAGAATGGGGGCAAACTTCCCACACAGAACCCCCATAACCAACAGAAAATACTCAAGGCCATCCAGTCTAACTCCCTTCACCAGGGCAAGAAAACGTAATCAAAGCCCTCCTGACAAAGAGCCATCCAACCATMKATMKATMKATMKATMKATMKATMKATMKATMKATMKATMKATGGTTGGATGGCTCTTTGTCAGGAGGGCTTTGATTACGTTTTCTTGCCCTGGTGAAGGGAGTTAGACTGGATGGCCTTGAGTATTTTCTGTTGGTTATGGGGGTTCTGTGTGGGAAGTTTGCCCCCATTCTGTCATTTGTGGTGTTCAGAACACTCCTTGATTGTAGGTGAACTACTACTAGTAGTAATTTTATTGATTAGCCCTTAGGTCATATCACAATAAGAAACAGAACAACAAGGCCTGACAAGACCTGATCACACTCCATGTAGTAAGTTAAAATAAGACACTTATAACAATACAGTAAATAGTAATATGATAAGACATGATAAAACTGATAAACTGATCAAGCTGAGTATATACATCATATTTCATTATCACCCCTACAATTTACCCCGATCAGCCCTACATATGTGGTTCTCAGACGTATTGTTTTGCTTAAGTACAGAGCTGTTTTATATGTTATTTTTGGGTCTTGGCCACACATAAAATACGTTGTTCTGATGTGAGATTCCCAATACATCGTCCGTTTGATATATGGACCAAGGTGGAAGTCTCTCACCTTTTGATACAATTTGCAATCAAATAATATGTGTGCTATATCCTCAATTTCAGATTGTAGGTGAACTATAAATCCCAGCAACTACAACTCCCAAATGTCAAAATCTATTTCCCCCAAACTCCATCTGTCTTCATATTTGGGCGGGGGCAGATCTAATTTCATTTGGGAGAGAGTTCCATAGCCGGGGAGCCACCACAAAAAAGGCCCTGTCTCTCATCCCCACCAAACGCGACTGTGAAGGCAGCGGGACCAAGAGCAGGGTCCCTCCGGAAGGTCTTAATGCCCTTGATGGTTCGTAGGGGAGAATACGTTCGGACAGGTAGTAAATCAGCTTTTGTGCGGGAGCCCCCGGTGGTGCAGTGGGTTAAACCTCTGTGCCAGCAGGACTGAAGACTGACAGGTCACAGGTTCAAATCCGGGAAGAGGTGGATGAGCTCCCTCTATCAGCTCCAGCTCCTCATGCGGGGACATGAGAGAAGCCTCCCAGAAGGATGATAAAAACATCAAATCATCTGGGCGTCCCCTGGGCAACGTCCTTGCAGTCGGCCAGTTCTCTCACACCAGAAGCAACTTGGAGTCTCTCAAGTCACTCCTGACATGACAAAAAAAAAGCTTTTGTGCAGTTTGAATCTGGGGGGTGGGGTGAGCTCCCATCTGTCAGCTCCAGCTTCTCATGCAGGAAGATGAGAGAATCATCCCACAGGTTGGTAAAACATTCCGGCATCTCCTGGGCAACGTCCTTGCAGACGGCCAATTCTCTCACAACAGAAGCGACTTGCCGTTTCTCAAGTCGTTCCTGACACACACACAAAAGTGTTTGTGAGGCTTGCTAAACAGACTATTTTTCCTTTTTATGAAGTACAGCTGAAATATTTTCTGCATAGTCCATTGTAAACTCAAGGTTCATGGTTGTGAAATTTTTCGTGACCCCAACACTGAGCTAAGGGGACCCCATTTGGGGTTGGGACCCACAGTTTGAGAAGCAATGTTCTAGCCATCACAAGTATTAGTTGTGCTGGTTGTGGTTGTAATGGGGAGGGGGAGAGAAAGGTAACTTTTCCAACTTGTTTTCTACCCAGTCTGAAGCTTTCTTCTATCAGTGTCCTTCCGATGACATCTGGACTTGCAGACCAGATAAGAGGAAGGGGATTGCAAGGTTTCTCTTAAATCAGAAAAAAGTCACGTGGAAAAGGAAGGACACTCGGTCAGCATCATATTGACAGTGAACTATCACTGTGATAGCCTTGCCTGTGATGGCTCTGTATTCACTGCATAGGAGGAGGAAGGTCTAAAGTGTGCATTCAGTGGCGTTTGGTAATGTGTGTGGTTCTACGCTGTACCAGTTTCAATTGTGAGGATGAGCTTGTTTGGTTTTGCAAGCTAAAGTGTGCAATCATTTATGAAAGGAAAAGAAAAGCCTTCCTAAAATAGCCTGCCAACGCGCTCTCGGGATCTATTGTCTCTCACATGCTAGTATTGTGTGCGTATGTGTGTGTGTTTAACATGAGAAACCTTGAAATGTTCTCTATGTTATGGGTAATCCTGCTGTATGAGTACGTCTGGAAAAGCTGAATCCTGCAATGTTGTCCTACCTAGAGGAACACAACTGATACCTGCAAAGGTTCCCACACTGATAGAGTACTCCTCCCCAAAATGTGGAATTGCACCTGTCTATGATCCATATTATAATTATATATATTTACATTACATATAATATTACTAATAATATTACAATATAATGGTATAGTGCAATATAGTAATATATAATACTGATATTGTACTATGCTAATAATATAATATATTGTATGAAAATATATTTTGAGAAGGGCGGCATATAAATGCCGTAAAAAAATAAAATAAAAAATAAATATTTTCAAGGCTGATTGCAATGTATTCTTCCCCCACTTTTGAACTCAGACTAATTAAACAAGCTAGTGTGACCTCTGGGAGTCTTGTGTTTGAAGGGTGGGCAGAAGAGGGAATTTCAGCAGGTGAAGCAAACATGGCAAACTACACCTGCTGAAATTTACCCCTCGGCACAACTTTTAAAGGTACAGGGACCCTTTGTCATTTTTGTGTTACTACCAAAGTTGGATCTCAGTCAACATGGACACTCAAAGACAAGTTGAGTAAATAACTCCATACGCATGTCTCACGTCTGCAGAAAGCTTGGAGAATACCCTGTTGTAGGTTTTTCAAACTGTATGTCCATGTTCTAGAAGCATTCTCTCCTGACGTTTCGCCTGCATCTGTGGCAAGCATCCTCAGAGGTTGTGAGGTCTGTTGGAAGCTAGGAAAATTGGGTTTATATATCTGTGGAAATTTCAGGGTGGGAGAAAGAACTCTTGTCTGTTGGAGCTAAGTGTGAATGTTTCAATTGGCCACCTTGATTAGCATTTGATGGTCTGACAGTTTTTAGGTGTCGCTTGTTCTTGCGTGAGGGAATCCTTTGTTGAGAGGTGATTAGCTGCTCCTGATTGCTCCTTGTCTGGAGTTCCCTGTGTTTGAGTTATATTCTTTATATTCTTTATTTACTGTTTATTTACTGTTATAATTTTTTAGGTGTGGCTTGTTCCTGCCTGAGGGAATCCTTTGTTGAGAGGTGATTAGCTGCGCCTGATTGCTCCTTGTCTGGAGTTCCCCTGTGTTTGAGTTATATTCTTTATTTACTGTTTATTTACTGTTATAATTTTTAGGTATGCCTTGTTCCTGCCTGAGGAAATCCTTTGTTGAGAGGTGATTAGCTGCTCCTGATTGCTCCTTGTCTGGAGTTCCCCTGTGTTCTTTATTTACTGTTCTTTATTTACTGTTCTTTATTAATATATTCTTTATTTACTGTTATAATTTTAGCGTCAAAAATCTGAACCACACCTTACATAACTGCTATCTATATGAAAAAGAAAGGAAACAATACTTATAGCCTTTTATATGCAATAAAACAAGCTGGGATACAGCGACCAAAATCTCATTTTTGTTGGCCAGTTACAACCCCATTCTGACAACAAAAGTTGCCCTTTATTTGTTTAAAGCTGCTAAAAGRAGATCAGAGTACATAGATCAGATTGGGRTGCAGTGTAGGGGAGACAAGGATAGTTGATATATATATATATTTACGGGTAAGCTACATTGGTTTCAAGCTAACAAACACCTGTATATTTGTATTTGTATTTTATTTTAAGAGGACTAGATGTATGTTGTATGTTGTATGTTGTGTTTGCACTGTCTGTTTGTTAAGGCCAGCTAGCTAATCAATAAAAGTAGTTGTTGTTGTTGTTGTTGTTGTTGTTGTTGTAATTTTAGAGTTGTTTTAAATATTGGTTGCCAGATTTTGTTCACTCTAACAACCATCATGTTAGGCTACACAGAGAAGTCATCGAAATCACAAGCATGTGGGCAATTTCAACAGAAAGGAAGAAACMATGAAAATGAACAAAATCTGGCTACCAGTATTAAAAAAAACTCTAAAACTATAACAATAAATAAAAAACAAAACTTAAACACACCGAACTCCAGACAAGAAACAATCAGGGACAGCTAATCACTTTCCAACAAAGGATTCCTCCAGGCAGGAAGTAGCCAAGCCTTGAAGCTGCAAGGCCGTTCAGTGCTAATCAAGGTGGCCAATTGCAACGTTCACACCTGCCTCCAACAGGCAAGAGTTTTTTGTCCCACCCTGGACTTTCCACAGATATATAAACCTAATTTTCCTAGTTTCCAACAGACGTCACAACCTTTGAGGATGCTTGCCGTAGATGCAGGTGGCACGTCAGGAGAGAATGCTACTAGAACATGACCATACAGCCTGAAAAACATACAACAACCCAGTGATTTTGGCCATGAAAGCCTTCGACAATACATCCTGTATTTATATGTTCAGATTGCTTGAACAACCTATGTTTTCCCTTCCAGAATACAGAACACAACCTTGGCTCCATCTTGCCTAGAGCTCCTTTTTGTGCACAGATGAGAAGAGTGGCTGAAGAGGAGTAAAGTTGTGGGAAAGGTCAGTATGCACACCGCACGTGTAGATCCAGGGAATGGGGCTTGACAGGTTGTACGTGAGAGGTGTACCTGTTGGGAATGTTTTGGGTCTGTGTGTATGTGTCCCCTGCCCCCATCAGCTGCTCTTGTCCATCTCTCATCAGGCTGGCCAATTGGTTGTTAATTACCCTTTATTGTTAGCAGAGGCTTAGCTAAACCCTGCTAATTCCTTCTAATTTGTCCTTGTTGATCAGGTGGTGCAGGTGGTAATGGGATGGGCAGCAGTCTTCCATCTGTTTATGCCTACTGTGAGTAGGTTGGAGTGTTTATTGCTGCGTGCAAATGTATCAAAGGGTACAGTCCCTTTAAGCAGTTTTTGCTATCCATCAATTTTGTGTGATTGCTTAGAAAGCTTCCATAAAATATTTGGAGACCTTGCAATGTTGGAGAGCTCTGCTTGTGGAGCACAATCTTTATTTCAAGTTGAGGTTTTCCCTTCTCAGTCCATGAACTACCACTGCTGTTCTAACTCACCAGCCTTCCATCAGCTTCCAGGTGTTATTTAGACTGTTGCTCTATTTATTCCCACTTAAACATCACTTACTACTTACTTAGGCTATCCCTCGTTGTCCAAGTAGGATTGTCTTCCAAGATCGGTGCACTAGTGGTGGGTACGTAGGTGACTATGGAGCCCTATTCTTGATCTGCATGTTCTCCTGCAGTGAGACCATTGGTTTCCAGTTGGAAGGTGGTCCCAGTTGGGGTTGGCTTGATGCGCCTTCCTCTTGGCATGTTTCTCTCTTTCACCCACCATTCGTGCCTCTTCAAATTCTACAACACTGCTGGTCACAGCTGACCTCCAACTTGAGCGCTCAAGAGCCAGGTCTTCCCCAGTTCTCAGTGTCTATGCAAGAGTTTTTAAGGTTGGCTTTGAGCCCGTCTTTAAATCTCTTTTCCTGCCCACCAACATTCTTGAGTTTGGAGTAGAGCAAGTGCTTTGGGAGACGGTGGTCGGGCATCCAGACAACGTGGCCGGTCCAGGGGAGTTGATGGCGGAGGACCATCACTTCAATGTTGGTGGTCTTTGCTTCTTCCAGCACGCTGACGTTTGTCTGCTTGTCTTCCCAAGAGATATGCAATATAGTAATATATAATACTGTTATTTTACTATGCTAATAATATATATTGTATGAAAATATATCTGAGTTCCCTTCGGGGTGAGAAGGGTGGCATATAAATGTTGAAAATAAATAATAATAAATAAATATGCAGGATTTTCCGGAGGCAGCGCTGATGGAATCGTTCTAGGAGTTGCATGTGACGTCTGTAGATAGTCCATGTCTCGCAGGTGTATAGCAGAGTTGGGAGGACAATAGCTTTGTAAACAAGCACCTTGGTGTCCCTACGGATGTCCCGGTCCTCAAACACTCTCTGCTTTATTCGGAAAAAAGCTGCACTCGCAGAGCTCAGACGGTGTTGTATTTCAGTGTCAATGTTGACTTTTGTGGAGAGATGGCTGCCAAGGTAGCGGAAATGGGCAACATTTTCTAATATTACACCATTAAGCTGTATTTCTGGCATTAGAGAAGGATTGGCTGGTGACTGCTGGAAGAGCACTTTTGGTTTACTCGATGTTCAATGACAGGCCAAGCTTCTTGTATGCTTCTGCAAAAGTGTTTAGAATGGCTTGTAGGTCTTCTATTTGTAGGTTTCTATTTATTTCCACTTAAATATCAATAGAGATAAGGGCAAGAAAACCAACAGTGTTGTTCAAGCCAATTGGTCTATAAAATGTGCATATTTCTTGATACATCATGTAATTTAGATTGAATGAGAGTTAATTTGCATGTGACCTGAAATAATATAAACATTTTTGTCCTTGAAGTGATTGCTTTTGAAATCACGACAGTTTGTATATTATGCAACCTAAGAGAATGAGCATTTTAAATGAAGATGTTCAATTAGATATTCTGCTCTTTTTCTGGTATTGATGCTTGTTATTGACTACCTGTCACTGTATTTGCTTTCCTGTTTAGTGGTTCTTCTAGAATAGGCTGGATTGTGTGATTGTACTATGCTAAGTGGCGAATTGTGATATACAGGTGCAGTGTTTCTTTGAGAAAACAAGTTTCTAACAATTACGAGTCCAAAGGAGGACTTGAAGGTGTATAGATTTGAGGTCAACAGAAAGAGATTGCAGATCATATCTTGCCCTATTTTGGTGTGTGTGTGTGTGTGTTGGGGGGGGGGGGTATTACCTGGCTTCTCAAAGCAAGAGGTTAAGAATGATGGAACACCAACAAAATACCAGTTGCTCATTTGACGTAATCAAGATCGGAAGATCTCTAAAAGCTAGTGGTTGTAGGTATGTCTTTACCAGTAATCAGTGGACATGGCTTTGTGTGTGTATATGTGTGTGTGTGTGTGTCAGGAGTGACTTGAGAAACTGCAAGTCGCTTCTGGTGTGAGAAAATTGGCCATCTGCAAGGATGTTGCCAGGAAGATGCCCAGATGTTTTGCCATCCTGTGGGAGGCTTCTTTCATGTCCCCGCATGAGAAGCTGGAGCTGACAGGCAGGAGCTCACCCCACTCCCCGGATTCGAACGACCAGGCTTTCGGTCAGCAGTTCAGCCGGCACAAGTGTTTAACCCATTGCACTACTGAGTTCTCCTAGTAGACAGGGTTAAGGGTTAAATGTGTCCTGCATAGATGTTTGCCTGTCCTCCATAACTATTTAGAGCAGAATTAACATGCAATGTAAGTAGGTGATAAACAAATGTGCATAATTGCACAACTCTTATTTATTTATTGGATTTTTTGCCGCACCTTTGTACTGGGGTGAGATTTATGGCAGCTGACCAAACCGTGGTTATATTGGTGCAAAATTTTGATAATTTAATTTTTTTATTTATTTAACATTCTTTGACCTTGTCCTTCAAAGAACATTCCAGCGGCTAACAGAATACTAAAAACAACAACAAAATATTACTGTTGACACGGACAGAAGACTCTCTAGATGCAACCCCTACCAGCGGCATTGCTGATGGAGGATTATGGGAGTTTGAGATTTCACAGCCTCTGGAGAGCCAAAGATGCCCACCCCTTTGTAATTGAACTCTGTAAAGCTAGTGCATACAGAGCTGGCATAATAGAAAGCATGATACAAACATAATATGAGTAAGTGGATTGTGCCATTGCTACAGAAGTACAGGAGAAGTTCAGAAAGCAATTTAAACATATCTTGTGGAAACAGCCTTCTGTTTGCAAGGCTGGATTAAAGCAGGAATTGAAAAGCTGTGAGCTCAGCTTTACAGAAAATGGTGGAATGAGGTCTTGTAGGTTAGAAGACGTTTTGAGTGAGGATGTTTGGACTCTGTTTGTACCTCTGCATAAGGAGGTTTTGTGTATCTTTTTAGAAAGGGCGGGCAGCCAAGATTCTGGGGTTGTCCTCCTAGCACCTAAAGTTGGAAGCAGATGGAGTCTAACGGTTTGCTGCTGTCCCTATAATGCATTCTTTTAAAGCAGTGGTTCTCAACCTTCCTAATGCCACGAACTCCTAATACAGTTCCTCATGTTGTGGTGACCCCCAACCATAAAATTATTTTTTGTTGCTACTTCATAACTGTAATTTTGCTACTGTTATGAATCATAATGTAAATATCTGATATGGAGGATGTATTTCCATTCACTGGACTAAATTTGGCACAAATACCCGATACGCCTAAATTTGAATATTTGTGGGGTTTGGGAAGTGGGGGATTAGTTTTGTCATTTGGGAGTTGTAGTTGCTGGGATTTATAGTTAATCTATCAAAGAGCATTCTGAACTTCACCAATGATGGAATTGAACCAAACTTGGCACACAGGACTCCCATGATTAACAAAAAATGCTAGAAGGGTTTGGTGGGCATTGACCTTGAGTTTTGAAGTTGTAGTTCACCTACATCTGGAGAGCACTGTGGACTCAAACAATGATGGATCTGGACCAAACTGGGCACGAATGCTCAATATGCTCAACACTGGTGGAGTTTGGGGAATACAGACCTTGACATTTGGGAGTTGTAGTTGCTGGGATTTACAGTTCACCTACAATCATTCTGAACCCCACCAACAATAGAATTGGGCCAAACTTCCCACACAAAACCCCCATGACCAACAGAAAATACTGTGTTTTCTGATGGTCTTTGGTGACCCCTCTGATACCCTCCTCATGACCCCCCCCCCAGGGGTCCCGACCCCTAGGCTGAGGAAACTCTGCGTTAAAAGAAATTGTAAGCTCTTTGGTTGGGCAGACCCAAGATGCAGAGTTGCATGTTGTCTCTAAAAGTCTTTAGGTCCTCCAGCGCACCTTTATGATCAACTTCTAGAGATGAGTGGTTTTTCCACGTTCACAGAGATCCTGTGCTCCTAACCCCTGCAAAAGTTGAGGGCCATTGTCTGCAAATGATGGCTTCCTGTTCTGTACCAAATGGAAGAAAGAAAGGAAGTACAGTAAATAAAAAAAGTACATTTCAGTTCAGAATTGGAAGACCAAGGCCCTTTCACACTCCACTATGGTTCCCAATCACATTCCATGATAATATCAGATGAAATTCTGGAGTTTGCTGTTTATGGGGGAAATATCCATTGGAAAGCTAAGTGCCTCAGTAGAAGATTTTATAACAAGAACTAGCCGTCCCCTGAGTTCCAAAGGTGGAGGGCCACCACCGAGAAGGCCTTCTCCCTCGTCCCCATCAACCACGCTTGTGATGGTGGCGGGACCGAGAGGAGAACTTCTCTGGCAGATCTTCGAGCCCGTGCTGGTTCATAGGGGGATGGTAGAACCTGAACGGTTTAGGGCTTTATAGGTAATAACCTGCACTTTGAATTAGGACCAGAAACTTATCAGCAGCCAATGAAGCTGCTTTAGTAAGAGCATCATGTGCTCCCTATACCTAACATGTGTGAATATGGTGCAAAAGTGTTGTGGTGGCGAGTGAGAACTCTCTTCTTCCCCCCTTTTTCCATTTCTTTGGAGCTCTTT